GTGCAGCTTAAGCCCGTGCAAGAACCGGCACAGAATCATACTCCTGTTCACCACATGGAAAATATTAAGACACGTCTTCCTCGAGGGACTAAGAGACACTATGGACATAAATCCCTTCCCGCAATAAGCTGGATTCGGAGAAATCAAGTACGGATTAAACTGCAACGCTGCGCATCGGCACCTTACACAGCAAAGAATGGCAATCAAATATCTACCCAAGCTTCACCATCTCTGAAGATTGCTTCAACAGTGAAGTAATTTGGAAATTGCTTCGGTGCTACGGAACCTTTGTCTGTTATGTTCAACAGCTATAAAATGATGCCACATGCCAAGTAACTCACACCATAAGGTTCTTCGAAGTCTAATAATTAATAATAATATATTCTCATTTTTGTACATGCCAGTTTACAGGCATCATCAATTCGATATATTACACATACGATTGGTAAGTATAGTTAGTAATGATAATATAATAAGGTACATATTTATTCCTACGAATGTAGGACACACAAGTTGTATAGGCATGGATAAGTATTATTCGAGTTACATATTTAAATTACGTGATTTATGGTTAAATAACATGGTTGCTGTCATTTTATCTTTAGTTCGTGGGAAAAATCGGATAACTGGTGATTCAATGGAACACACCAACAAATATAGAGATATTGACTTCGCATTAACAAAAAACCCAAGTATGCGTTGGATGGATTACACATACTTGGGAAAATAAATAAAGCTTGAAGTCAATTCCCTCATAAAACAATAAAATGCGTCTTACAATAATATATTCCCACTTTATGCACTTGAGGGACTCCAGTTGACAGGCATCATCAATAGGATAATAATGCACACATGGAGTAAACATGTTTAAAATTTTTCACTAACACAAGATATATATACAAGGAAAGATAATGGAATATTGACCGTAAATACTTTCTGCATAAGTTAAAACAGTTTATATGGCATAATCCTAGGCACAATTATTGTTTGAATTTGTTGAAAATGAGCGAAACAACTGAGTGTTGCGTTACATTCGGTCGATATGGTGGGCTACTCACAAAAGTATAAAAATGGCTTAAAAAACGTCAGTTAGTTTACCGTAAACGATGTTTTAAGCAATATAATCTGCAAAAGGCTCACCACAGCAGTTATTATCCAGTTAAACATGCAGAGAAGTATTAATAATTCAGCAACCGGTGAATTTTTGATTCTTTTCGGTCTGGAACCTGAGTAACTGCGAACCAATCCATAAAAATGTCGAGTGAGGCATTCAGGAGCAGAATATTATCATCAAATGAGTCAGTAGGATCTGAAATGGTGCTGTCAGCACATTTTCGTTTTTTCGTAGATATCCAGGTTTATTGGCGCTGTATAGGTAGTGATTTGGATTTGCCATCATGATCGTCATATGGATGAATATTCAAATATGTACTACAACTTGCTTACCTTTCGGATTTAGTTTATTACATCGCGTGTTGGGTTTGATTACTCTGCGATTTTGACATATTCCGCAGGAGCAAGTGAAAACTTTTTCCCATCGCCAGTGGTATTCCTTGTTGCGATGGATTGAATAATGATTTTGATGTTGTTGTGTTCTCTGAGCTGGATAGTTAATTTGCGCAAATTAACTATCCAGCTCAGAGAACACAACGACATCAAAATCATCCACCTGAGCTACAAATCTTCTCTATCATATTGAATGATGAGGCCGCCAATGGGGAGCAAGAAGACACACATATGCTATTGAACTGCCTGTAAGTCCCCAGAAGACATTGACTTTGCCAGTGATCAGTGGCTGCCACCACACAAACTCGGAGATATTTAGGTGTTATCCAACAACTTTGCGCAATAGGCAGCTAAAATGGGACCTCAAGTGAACATGGAAAAGACAGAGATTGCGAAAATGCCTAAATGTGATCTGCTCTTCCAGTCACCTAGATAGCACAATTTCATTTACAGACCACACGAATGAAGATGCCAGAGCCAAGATAGGATTGGCAGGATGGGAGTTCATTAATCTGAACAACATGGCAGATCCTCTGCACTCATATCACGTCAGTGTCTCTATAGTTTTAGAGACCTGGTTCGCGAGCTACAAAACATTTCCGACAGACTGATCGCTTTTGTCATCACCTGGCTCTGCTCTGTGCTGAAGACCAAATAGCCTGTTAGAGAGGTTAAAAGTAGCGGGAAAATCTGGCAGCGAACCAACCGTGAGCCTGTTGTTAGACAAATATGCGGAAAATGGAGATACATTTGTCACGCACTGAGGGGACCATTGAGTCATATTGTACACCAGGCGATCGATTCGAGAGTGGTTAGGGAAATACAAGTTTGGTTTAGATGTGGGGCTGACACGGAGGAGACAGTGAGTGGGGGAATAGTGAATAGTGATTAACTGAAAACACTTGAATAGAGACATCCGGAGGAGTAGCTCTGTGCTCCCTGGGGAAACCCAAAAAGCAATGCCCATCAAATGGCGGTAACAAGAGTATCGTCACGGTTCACATTCTCCTTGTGTGGCTACTACATCGTAAGTTAGTAGGTTCAGCTTAGGGCTACCAACTATAAACGTAAATTCAGGTAGACGCACAGTCCCGAAGAACAGCAATAGAACTGGAGGTAACAGCTTGAAACTCTCAGCACATATTTTATTAATTTATTCGTGTATTCAGGTATATTACTTTCCAGTTTTTCCCCTAATTAATCTACATTTTATAATGTCCATCGTCTTCTTTTTCTCTTCTCCCTTCTGAGTACAATTTTTTTCTCATTTATTATTCATCCCGCTTGCTCAGGTTCTCAGTTTTCCCTCTGTTGCTTTTATATTTCATTTCTCACTGTGTTTTCAAGTGGTTTGAAGGACTGTTTATCTCAGTGGCGATACTATCGTGCAAAAAATCATGTGTTTCTCCGGATTGTACACTCTTCTTTTGTACACAAAGGTTTGGATTAAAGTCATGAATTGCCAAGGCCTCCGCTGTCTTTAGAAGTTTAGAACGACGAAAACGCGGCAAGTTAGCATGGATTCGGTAGATGATCTTAAAATCATGGTCAGTGTTGGTAGAGTGACAGGAGTCGATCAGGTGTTCTAGAATAGAGCTTCGCATACACTTCCTTTCTCCTTCGTAAAACCATGCTGGAATACGTTCTCGTATCTATGCTGAAAGCATCCTTTGGCTACGGTCTATGTACTTTGCTCCACAAGAGGAGGTGAACTGATAGATGCACATGAAGGCGGCCAGATGAGGGAGCTTACCTTTAACATAGATGGGGAATAACTTACGGCTGGTGAACATCATATGTAATTTTGCTGCAAAGAATGTCTTACTGACTGATTTAGACAGACAGTTTCTGAGCATATTTGTGACTCCTGATCACCTTTGATTTCCAAGTTCATGAATAAGGTTTCTTTGAAATTGAGTAGGTGACCAGTTTAGACTGCTTATTTTTCGTGTTGCTGTCAATAAATCGGTTAGGGTAACTGTTTTCTGCGAATGTGGCTTTTAAGAAGTCAAGTTCTGAGTCAACGCAATCAGAACTACAAATGTTCCTTATCCTAAAGTAGAGCGAATGAATTGGGTTCCTTTTCCTGGAGATAGGCACCCAACTATAAAGATTAGTTAGTTGTCCGTTCCATATACGTTTCTGGTTGGTGGATCTTTTGAGGGATCCGTCATTACGTCTAATAAGGCACACATCGAGAAACGGAATACTTAGTTCAGATTCCTTTTCTATGGTGAATTGTAAAGAAGGATGGAATTTGGTGAAAGCAAACAAGACATCATCAAGAATTACGTTTTTATCGCAGATAACGAAAGTGTCGCCTAAGTATCTTTTATAAATGTCAAAATGACCGATGGTTTGACTAATTTGAGAGTTTTCGAGCTTTGCCATAAAACAATCAGCCAACAAAGGACCCAGTGGTGATCCCGTCGCAATGTCACCTCTGTGTCTAAAAATCTCATTATTGACGGTGAACTGGGCATTCAACGTGCATCTCAATAAAAGTTCTTTGAGGTGGTTTGCCGGCAACCCTATTTCAAAACTATGTGTATCAATATGATCACACATATAGCAAACAGTTTCCATGAGAGGTACACTGGTAAATAGCGACGTCACATCTAATGAGAACATGACTCTGTCTGAGACATTAAAATTTTTAATGCTATCAATAAATCAAAACGTATCATCAATGGTAAACTTAGATACTTGCCTTCTAACTGGTTCCAGTATTTCAGCTAGCCATTGAGCGATTCTGTGATACGGAGAACCGGACATATTGAGGATTGGTTGGAGGGGTAATCCTGCCTTGTGAGTTTTCGGTAGTCCATACAAACCTGGTATTATGGAGCCTACTGGTCGGATGCGTTCATATATTTCTGACAAGATTAATGACTCATTCCTCATGTTCTTTAAGACATCAGTCAGTTGATTTTCAATTAGACGTGTCTTTTCTAAACCCAAAATTATTACTTTTTATATTTTTTATTTTTACAATATTGAATTCTATCTTATCAAATTTCCCACCATGTCATGTAACATTTTATATTAGCCTACTAATCCTATAATTATATACCCCTTTCCAAAACTATACACCTTGTTTATTATTCCATTTGACATTTGACATTTAACTATGATTATAATCACAAATATTTTAATTGCATTTCACACTATTATTGTTTCATGTATTCACACATTTGACCTAATTCCCTCACCGGATATAATTTTTTAAAAATCCATATATATACGATTGTACAGCTTGATAATAAATTCGTTGAAAAGAGTCTCTTCGCAGAATATTGTATTCTTAATGCTACAATGGGAATTATTAAATTATAGTACGAAAGTGTCAAGATTATATTAAATATTGAATTTCTCCTGGTAAAAGACGATACTGAGAACTCATAAAATTGCTTGTTTTGAGGAACTCTGAAAGTGTGATAAGTTACTTCACATGAGCCTGCGTGTTATTGTTTTGTTTTACTGGACTAAGCTGCGTGTTTCTTTAACTCCTACCGGCGTTTTGGAAGTGTTATACATGAATATGAGTGTTTAGGTTAGTTACGGTAAAAACTGTATTGTTTCGTCCTGTCTCCATAAAACTAACTTTTGTCACTGTTCTTCTGTTCTCAAAATTTCCCTCGGATGCACTTCAAAAAAGTTCGCTGTGATAATCATGTGTTATTGCAAGTGGCTTCCTGCATTAAGCTTGCATATGTATGTATATAACGTGGAAATAGGACAAAAGATACTTTTTATTTGTTTTATAAGCTGCCACTAATGAGTTGAAACAAAGTTAAACGGAATCAGTCAGATCAATGTACGACATGTCGCCTAAGTTTCAAAGGACTCTACTCCTACTATATTCCCAAGCTTATTATAATGCTCAATTAAATCTCACTTATTCTGAAATAATTGTAACATTCTATTGTGAGTAAATTATGAATTTGTTCTGAGGATTCTAAGGATTACTTTTTGCAACCGCACAACAGAACTCATCTCACTATTATTAAATTCGCTCAACCTTCAATAGTCTGTTTGATTTCTCGCCTGTACTATAAGTAGGGGGAGTTGGCAAAATCCAAGCATGCCTTCTTCGTTCCGGCCTAGATTTCGTTGATTACTAACTCACCAGGGCTAATGCAACTTCCAAAGTTAGTTAAATTGTTGACGCACTCAACTGCTTTGCTACGTATATTCAGATGAAATGTATCTGCAGACCGCTTATTAACTGTCAATTAGTACTTGTAACAACGTAGATCAGAGTAACTTTTTGTTGAAGTAAATGGAGTATTAAACCTGGGTGTACGTTACAATACTGTGCTAATAAATTGTATGCATATATAGTCTGAATATGTATTCACTACTTAGTTACAATAATAGTACTCGTGCTTTCTCATTTTAATTGTCAGTAATATCTATCACAAACATGATATACATATTGTTCGTCATTGGTTTTATATTAATTATCTTGAAAATATATCATGCATATTTAAATACAATTGTATTTTTATTCTATTACTAGGTAGATCATGGTGGACGTCCCCTTGCTTGCTCGTGTCTCCGATAATACAGACTGCAGCTCTTCTTCTTGCCCAACTTCGTCTGTGTCCGAAGACTCTGTTCCAGAAGGTTATTTGATTTTAACATTTGATAAGAGAAAGAAAGCGGTTATAAAAACAGCTGTATTTGCAGATGTCTCTGATCCCCGGTTTGTCGATGAGTAAGTCAGCTATCATTTGTTTTCAAAATATATCAACTATGCTTTGTCTATAAAATATTTCTCAGATATAGTAGTAGTTTTATAGTATCTACTCGCAGGGATATCTTTCTCAAGCTGTACAGTCGCATATATATATATATATATATATGTATATAATCATGTCATTAGAATTATAAACTTTAGATAACAATTACATAATATAGAAAGCATTAATCGGGTAGAAACTGAAATAAAGCGGAATAAGTAAATTGTGTGACGTGATTTAACTGACGGGATTGAGTAGATAGAACTCAACTAAGATAGAAAACCAGTCAGGTTAAGAACAGTGACAACCAGGAGTACAAAATGTAATAGTTAGATGGGGGATGATGTTGTTAAAGAACAACAGTTATGTGTCCAGTGTTGGCGCAGATTAAGTCATAACAAAATTCATCAACTTCACACCGCTATAAAGCCGTAGACACTAAAATACACCTATATTTGGACTTACAATTCAAAAAAGACTCATCGGCGGAAATACGGCAAAACCACCTGTCCTTTTGATTGAAGTAAACTTTTTTCGGAACTGAGCTTGGACTCACTTTCTCTACAAAACAAATAAGTCTCAATAATGTGAAGGATAAGTTATCATTACTGGCCTTATCAGTGTATATCTATGACTTCACCTGCTCATGTGGAGCTAATTATACCTACCGTATTGAACGTTTGCTATCCAAATGTACAATCGAACACTTACCCTCATGGTTTTACGGAGGAAAAAATATCTCCCTGTCGCTCTATTTTGGAACATATGATCGATTCTGGACACCAAGTGAACCTGCAAACCAACTTGAAAGTCATTTGTCTACTGTGCGGAAATCGCGCCAAAGGAGTGCAAATCAAACTTCTTCAAACCACAAGAGTGACGGCAATTCACATGTTAAATCCCAAAGTGTGTTGTATACAGAAGATGTTTCTTCAGTTATTGAACCTACAAAAGACCTAGCCTGTCCTAACCCCTCTCCGCTGCTACATTTCTAGTCATTATTATCACTGTTCTTAACTTGACTGTCTTTGGATTTTGGATCACTTCTACTAAGTCCCATCAATTACGTTGAGTCACGCAGCCTGCTTATATATATATATATATATTCTTAGACTTCATGCGATTATTTGGTTTGTCATTTACTTTCAAGTTACTCAGAATTTCTCCCTTCAAACTTGAAAAGCTGAAGTTGCTAGAGCCTTTTGTCAAAATGTTACCCATATAGGGTAGACAGCAAACAAGCAAACCATACATCCTCACTATCTTTTGGCTTTCTTATTATCCTAGGTAAACTATTTGTTATTGGTCAGATTTTTTCAATCGTTAGTAACAGTTTATTTTATTATCAGAAAAGTTGGATATAAAGGAGATTTGGGTCGCTATGTTGTTAAACACTTGAAAATGAATGCATTACTCATTGCCTACTAACTGTGGGATGAAGTTTCTTGAGTTCCAATAAGGGAATTAGTGTCCGGTAGGACTACCAAGTTGGATGTGACGTCAGATACTCTCTGGCAACATTCCATGGTGGTGGTGGTGGTGGAGCTATCTCGCAAATTGATGCAAGTTAGAAATCATTCAGTGAATTCCAGCTTACACTGGCTGTAAGAAGCTAACCTGCTCGCTTTGTTACTTGAAAGTTGCGGATACAATTTCTTGTTCTGAAGAGTAGTACCAAACTAGGCTGAATTATCTATCCAGTATTCTCTGACTGAGGTTAGTTCGTGCCGTGATCTACCTGTCGAAATCAATCACTACCCCGCACAGACCATTCCTGACACAACTGATGCACTTAGTTTGTTAAACAGTACTTCCCTTTTTCTTTTGGCGCCAGAGTCAGAGGTGTGTATAATATAAGTCCTCAGAGTTATTTAGAAAATATCCATCTGAAACACTTTTGTTTAATATTTTACTTGGACTCGATAAATTATTGTTTTGTGAAAAGCGCTACTCACACAGTCACATACTTCACTTGGGTTTGTTGTTGTTGTTGCATTTCTCTCTTCCCTTGCAGCTTTGATGATGATGATGAGGATGTCTTTGAGAATACTGAAGAAGGCAAATGTTATACCATCAATTGGCAACCAGCTAAAAGTGAATCGAAATTATCTATTTGTTCGGTGAAAAGCCAAGAGGAAGATGCTACAGATGAGACTAAACAATCTCTGTCAAAACCACTTGTTATTTCAACAGATACAGTTGATAAAAATGACACTTCATCATCTTTCAAACGATGTTATGGTGAAGTATTTTGGGTTGGTGAAGATGAACCTGATATCGAATCAAAAATTGTCGAGTCATCGTTGGAACAGCTATCTAGTAATAATAACAACAACAACAGTTTAATACGTGCAAGTCCCCTGTCATGTGATACTACCTCAATAACTCCAGATTCAACATTACCATCATCATCATCTTCTGAAAGTTGGTCTACAATGATGACGAATGCCTCTCGTGTAGCCGGCAGTCTTCCATATCGTAAAGAAACCCTGTCAACTAACAGTAACAGTAACCATTTTATTAGAAAATTCAATCATAATTTCTCTTCATACTTCCAGTATAAATGTCCTAGATCATATAATGCGCATACAAATGAACATACGCAAAAAATGCTCAAATGTGACCAGTGCGGTAAATATTATCGTAATGATTACAGCCTATATCATCATATCTGTTTAAAGCGTAAAGATGTCTGGAAGAAAGGTGATGTCCCATCAGAAGTGATTGATGGACAATTAATGTATTTTTGTCCTAGTTGTAGTAAACCCTTTAAATGGCTTGGTAATCTTACACGACATTTTTATGTGCATACTGGGCAACGATTTTTTCGATGTGATATTTGTTCGAAAGAATTTTTCTCTGCTTATCAAGTACGAAGGCATATGAATTCGCATACAGGTATACGTTATAAGTGTCCATTCTGCGAGAAACCATTCACATGTAAATATGCCTGTGCATGGCATACACGCAAACATTTAACTCATCCAGCATTGAAACATTGAGCAGACAAGAAGAAGAAGATATATTCCAAGGCCTTATTGATTTCTTTATTTTTTTTTTGGTTTTTGTTTTTCTTCTTGATATTACCTATTTATTTTAGCATCGAAATAAATGCCTTAACTTTTCTACGTTCCATTTTACACACACACACCTACTGCGTGTATTCACTGTGAGTTGTGCTATTTTTTTTTTACAATAAGAATTCTTCCAATCGGTGTTATCTTATAGTAATTATTTTGATAGTTGTTCTTATACATTGTTATTATTATTATAATTACTGTATTGCCAATACTCAGTATTACAGGTAAGAGGCGGGGGAGGGGAGGAGTAACAACACATGTGCCTTCAATCCACTGTTGAAACAACAGTAACACCAACAACTACTGCTACACACTGATACAGTCATAGTCTCTCTCTCTCTCCCGCTCTTTCTCTTTGTGTGTGCCTTTGTCACTACCGCCAGTGTTATCGCCAGTACGCGCGACATTATTATACATATTACATATTTTATTCCTGTGGATTTTTATGCTCTCTCGCTGCTTTACACATCATATCTACTTTTCTATTACAAAATAGACAACAACAATAACAAAAAGAAATCTGACAGATTGCTCAATTTGACGACGTATGTATGTTATGATTTGTGGTTTTTCACCTTTTGATTTTTTAAGAATATATCAGTTTGCTCTAGTGTGTATGAGTTTTTTGATTGCTTGCTTGCTTACCTGTCTGCCTGCCTGCCAGCCTCCCCTCTCTCTGTGTTCCTCACGAGAGAGAGAGGGTACACCGATGCACACTAACTGGGATCTTCCAATTACTATTTTGTGGTTTTGCAAGTTTTTTGTACGTTTTGTATAACACTATATACACATACACAAATATTTTTTTATCATTACTATTATTGTTGTTATTGTTGTTACATAAGGTTGTGTACGAGTATTTGTTAGATTGTATTATTCTACAATGCAACACGTGTGCACAGACATGCACACATATACACGCACACACACACATTCAAAACAAATAATTCATACACACACACTTCTTGATTCCAGTGACCATCGTAGGGACACTATTTAAAAAATCTCTGGGGGTAGGTATATCTTGCTAACGCTGATTCTCCAGATGTGCTTGCTGCCTTACACACTCCAGTTTTTTTTTATTGTTTTTTTATTCGATTGTTCGTTTGTACTACTACTTATGGGTTTTTTTTATTATATGTGTTCTTTTGGTTATTTCTTCAATCTTGTACCATTATTATTTTTTTGTACTCAAGGCTCTCTTTCTCTCTCAGTTTGGTGTAAAACTTACTCGTCGTCAGAATAGCGATTTTTTTCGGTGGATGTTTCGTTGTTGTTAAGCTTTTGATGTGGTATATATATATATTTGTGTGTGTGTGTGTGCGGTAACTTATGATTTTTTAAAATATGTTATGATAATAGAATTTTGAAAGCGGTAAATGCGTTTTTGTTTATTTGTGAGCATTTTCTATACAGTTTAATTTTTAGGCATGGTTTGGTGTGTATAAATAACTAAGGCGTTCGACTTGCAGTCGTCAGTGAATTCTCGACGTTCGAATTCTCGCTCCCACTTCTTCTCTGCCCCATCGTGGTCTACATTTTATGTAGAAAGCGGATTGGTAGTATTAGCATCAGCACTCTCTCTCACACACAGGCGTCCGTCAAGGATGCCCATTATCCCCATTCCTATTCAACTTCATCATAGACGTACTAATGGACTTAACCCTAACACACTTCAGCGACTCAGGGATTGACTTTCTACCAGGGAAGAATCTCGTTGACTTAGAATATGCGGACGATATAGTCCTTCTTGGCGAGGACTCTGACAAAATGCAGAGTCTACTGAACACCTTGAGCTGCAATCTTCGTATGTTTGTCATGCGATTCGCCCCTGTAAAATGTAAGATGATGCTGCAGGATTGGACTTCACCGACCCCTAGATTAGAAATAGGAAGTGAAGTGGTAGAGCACGTTGACCGCTTCACTTACTTGGGAAGTACCATCAGCCAGTGCCAACGGGTTGATCTCAGACGAAATATCAGCACGAATACAGAGGGCTAGTTTCGCATATGCCAGTTTACGCCCTCTCTGGCGTAGACGTGATATCCGACTATCGAGCAAAGGGCGTGTGTACTGCTCAACAGTCCGCTCCGTCCTCCTCTATGGCTGTGAGACCTGGCCATTGAGAGCAGAAGACATGAAAAGATTAGCTGTCTTCGATCATAGGTGTCTGCGTTCTATCTCCCGCGCGAAGTGGTATAATAAGGTGAGCAATATTGAGGTTAGGCATCGGTCGAGTGCTAGGTAAGGAGGAGAAATCAGTCGACGAAAGTGTGAAAATACATCGACTGAGATGGTTGGGACATGTGTTACGTATGCCTAGTCATCCCTTTCCTCGACGGGCAATGTTAGCTGATATAGGGCCAGGCTGGAAAAGAGCTAGCGGCGGTCAAACGAAAACATGGAACCAGTCAATGAAATCCATAACAGTTAGTCTAAGCCACGTAGGAAGATGTAGACTTCCTGGTTGGGGTCCTTGGGACGGTAAAAGCCAATGGTTGGAAACAATTGGTGACATGGCTCAAAATCGTTCTCATTGATGGCTGGCGCAGATGCATCCACTCCTTGTGACTTATGATTTCCAATGAAACTATATTGTTCTTCGTTATTACTATTACTTTGTCTCACACCTCTGTTTACTGTCTCCCTTTTGCATTTCTTCTCTTGCTTTGTGTGCTACAAGGAGTGGAGTGTGGTAATTTGAACTGCCGCACACATGTGCAAAGTTCTATGTCGAAAACCGACCGACCCACCTCTCTCTCACACACACACTAAGAAGTGTACCTCACAGTCGAGCTTATGAACCTTCCAGACAACAATACTGCGAAACCTTATCCTCATCGAACTGCAAGCATAACTTCTTCGTTAGAGCAGGCATTATTTGATACAAATAAAGCGGAATACTCACCTTGAACTCACGTGCGCGAACCTGATTGGACCATTCGAGGTCATTCGCTGATTGGTGGTAGTTGGTGGTGCTTAGAGTTTAACTTGGCCAGCCATGAGTAAACTGTCCAATCATGTCAGCGCCTATGCATAAATCATTCATTGGCTAGACTAACAAAGAAGTTTTGAAGAGCTTTGGAACCAACCGAAAGTGATTGCGGAGAACAGAGTGTGTTGGGGATATGTGGTGTATTCGGAACAAGTAATAATAATAATAATATAACCAAAAACCAATCAGTATTGTATTGTATCATTTTATTAAACTTGTTAGTGGTCTATTATGATGCGGAAAAGTGAAATACGTGACCTCAAACATGTTACCACTTTTCTGTTAGCTTGGCTTTTTTCCTCTCAATGCAAAATTGTTGAATAATAAAAACAACTTATACTGTGGTTTTGTATTCTGACTGAAAGGTTTAACAACAACTTAATGGAGTGAGACGGTTTCCATCATTTCGTTTTTTTTATAGTCATCTGTTGTTGCAGAAGAGAAGTTTCCAATTTTTGTCGGCTTATGAACCACCCGATTCAGAAAGATAGTATAAGTTGCCTCGTATTACTTAAGAACTGTCTGTGAACGCGATTACATACGTTCAGCTAGTAGATCAGGGTCAGTTAGATTTATTTTTATTTTTGATTACAGCTTGATGCCACACCGTATTTTCAGTACAAGTATGGAATTTTCAGCATGGATATCGGTAGCCCAAATTTTGCAGGTCGACCATAGATATCGGGTGTGCGTCGGCAGGGGGTCGAACCCCGGAACATGTGCATGGTCGGCGAGAGTCCTAATTGGAATTAAACATAGGAACCTGACTAGAATTGGAGGGATTGACCGTGGTAAATTAAGTAACCTAGAAAAGAGTTCGGCTATTCGAGTAATCTCACACAACATGGTGGAATAGGGTGCAGTTAGGTGGATAGAGAGGGCGAGAGAAAGAGAGAGAGAGGTTAATCACTGAATCTCTGTTCATCGAATCAACACTAAACACGTGTAAGCGAAATGACTCATCGTTTCTATCGGATATAGAGAATATTGCAGTAAAAGAATATGAGGGAGTAAGGCAAGTCAGGAAATTGTGTGACTACATTGTTATGATTATGAACGATAAATTGTGCTCTAAGCGTCATACAGTTATTACTATTTCTGCTGTGTCGCTCATTATTTTGTAACCAAAACAATATTATGCGACATCCTAAATGCTTCTTTCTCCAAAAATGTCGTACCTGTTGCATGGAAAGACATTAAAATAGTCCCTGTCCCTAAACCTGGAAACAGCAAGAACGTAAATTTCAGACCCATTGCCATCACTTCCCCGTTTCTAAAGCTTATGGAAAAACTAATACTTCTTAAACTTGAACCCTCCCTTAAAAGCTTTGAAGACCCCAAACAGTTTGCCTATATACAGGGTAGGAGCACTTTAGACGTTGCAGCCGTCTTACACAACAGTATCGTCCCATCATTAGATAAAAGTGCCAAATACGTCCGCTGCACGTTTCTAGACTGCACTTCTGCTTTCGACTTTGTACCTAGATGTCTCTTGCTAAATAAGCTCTCTTTGACAAAAACTGAGTCCTGGGTCACTAACTGGTTTCATTCCTACTTCTCTAACAGAATGCAGTACACCGTATACAAAGGTAAATCCTCCTCTGCTGTGCTCACTGAAGCTGGTGTCCCCCAAGGTGTTCTACTCTTCCCACTTCTCTTTTCTTTCTTTCTGCATGACTAACCATCTTCAAATGACATTAATTTTGTCAAATATGCTGACGACCTGACTGGATCTTTGCCTGTCAAATATCAAAGTGACTACTCTAAACTAAATGGTTTTCTATCAGAAATCAGCCACTGGTCCAGGGAAAACGGTCTTACCTTAAACCCTTCCAAATGTCAAACAGTCAATTTCACCTTTAGGCATAAATCCGACCTAAACACACTGGTTGGCTCTCACGAGGTTTGCAAAGTAGACGGCACTGAAATAGAAACTAAATCGGAAATTAAATACCTAGGCGTCATTCTATCTGCTGATCTCTCCTGGTCGTCCCATATCTTGGCGATTTCTAAGAGAATATTCCGTTTTACCTTCTACATCAAGAAGTTAAGACATTCTGGTATAACCCAATCCTTACTCCTACAATTCGTTAACGCTGGCATTCTGCCTATTATTCTCTATTGTTCCCCCTTAGTTTTCCTGGGCTACTGAAGAAGGACTATAACATATTACGCAGGAAGTTTTTGGTGTGGTTGTGTTCTCTGAGCTGGATGGTTTGGTTGCGAAGCTTTCATTGCTCTACTGAGCAACATCTTCAGCGCATACTTCGATGTGAAGTGAGCTTTTAGAATTCTCTATGAGTTTATTAGTCATCTCTTCTAGTAACCTTGAAGGTGATTGGTTGTTTTCGTGTGACATTTCATCCCCTAGTTTGCTTGTCTCGGTGCTGGCTGCTTCTTTGGTCTGAATGTCGTTAGTCATTCCTTCTGCTAACCTTGAACGTGATTGGTTGTTTTTGTGTGACTTCTCACTTTCTAGTTCACTTGTTTTGGTGTTGACTGTTTCCTTGACCTGAAGTGTGACTTTGTTTTTGTGTGAATTTCTTTGTATGGATTGGTATATTTTGTCGATCTCTATGTGTCTATTGATTGCTGATTCATTTGAATACCAGGCCTCTAGGAATTCTCTGGCATTTTTGCAGTTCCCTTTGTCTAAGATTTGAACATTGTCCCAGTCGAATTGGTGCCCATGGTTGTCTGCATGTAGTGATGTGAGGGAGTGTATGTCGTGTCTTTTGACAGCTAGTTTGTGTTCGTGAATGCGAAGACGAAGAGGGCGTCCACTTTGACCAATGTAATGTTTGTCGCAGTCGTTGCAATTTATCTTGTAGATGACGTTAGTTTTGTCTTCTTTTGCCGTTGAGTCCTTTGGCTTACATAGAACTGAGTGTAGTGACTTTGTTGGTTTATGAGCGACATCGATTCCAAAAGGTTTGAATAGTCTTGCAGTGATTTCGGAGATATCTTTTATATATGGTAGGACGACTTTCTTTGTGTTTTCGCTGGTGGCCTTTGATTTGGTTGGTTGAGCTGGGGGTAGATGTCTTTTGATGAAGTTTCGTGGGTATCCATTTCTTTGGAAGACGTCCATAAGATGATTTTCTTCAATTTTCCTCAAGGCGGGAGTGCTGCAATGAGTCCTGGCTCTCTTGAACAATGTACGTATGCAGCTAATTTTGTGTGATGTTGGGTTGTTACTGTTGTAATTGAGTATTTGATCCGTGTGCGTTGGTTTTCTGTATACTTGGGTTTCTAATTTTCCTGTAGTTGTTCGTTTGATTAAGACGTCTAAGAATGGGATTTTGTTTTCATATTCTTCCTCTCTTGTGAA